TAAACTGTTGTCATAATTACTATTGCTATGTAGCAAACTATCCCAAAATTTGGTGGTATAAAACAACTTTGTTGTTTAATATTTTATTATGTTCAGTGATTTATTGGGTCAGGAATGCCAACAGCACACAGCAAAAATGGCTCTCTTCTTCTCCATTATACCAGAAGTCTCAACTGAGATCTGATGGCTGATGGCACCTGGGTGCTAGAGGATAAAATCACACAGACATCTTCAAGCCACCCACTTAATAGGCTCTCAATGTACCTCATAGCATGAGGGATTTAGGTCACATTTCTTACACAGTAGCTTCAAAAACACAGTGTTACTGGACAAGGTAACACACAATTGTAATCCCAACATTCTGAGAGACTGACCCAGGAGACCACAAACTTGATCAACCTAGAAGACCCTGTCTAAAACTTTAAAAATAAAATCTAAAGGCCGGGCGTGGTGGCGCACACCTGTAATCCCAGCACTCGGGAGGCTGAGGCAGGAGGATTGCTGTGAGTTCGAGACCAGCCTGGGCTACATAGTGAGTTCCAGGTCAGTCTCAACTATAGAGTGAGACCCTATCTCAAAAAACAAAACAAAGCAAAAAATAAATAAATAAAATCTAAAAAGGAGGGCTGGGGATGTAGCTCAGTGTGTAGGACCTGCATTCAATCCTCAGTACTGAAAAAAAAAAAAGTGTTTGTTTTTTTTTTTAAAAAGCACAATGACCCATTGGACAAAGTGATTCCTATATTTCTTTCTTATAGTCTAGGCTTCAAAGTTGTAGGGCATTATTTCTATCATATAGTCACAATCCCACCAGTTTCATGGAGAGGGGCAGAGATCTCAACTCTTCATAGGAGGGAGGTTGGTTACATTATAGAAGAGCATATGGAGAGGGAGATACTAATATGGCCATCTTTAGCCAAAGCTACCTTCCACCCTTAGGACTACATTCTAACTAGTTACTCCTTACTTCCACTCCCAGCCCTCACTCATCTCTTCACTATGCCCTGGGAAGCTGATTCCTGTGGATACATCACAACAGCACCTACACAGGGGAATATGCAGGAGATCCAAGGGCAGGATTCTCATGGTTTATATTTAAATTTTCCTCAAGACCCCCATGCACACATAGCAGGGCTCTTGGAAGGTAACTGGCTTAATGGGAACTTAAAGCTGACTTGCTATAAGACAGTGACTGGCTGGAAGAAGTGAATGTCTGGGGTTTTATCTCCCTCTGCATCTCATCCCTTCGCTCTTTCTGCCATGCCATGAAGAGCTCTCCTCCATCATGACCCTTCTTTGGCGCCAGCTGACTATGGACTCCAATGTGAGCCAAAAACAAGCCCTCTCCTTCCTTAAGTTTTGGGTGTTGGGTATTTAGTTCCAATGATAAAGAGACTAAGACAGAGTTTAGTACCTCAAAAGTGGAGTTGTTGCTGTGACACTACCTGAGTATGTGGTCTGGATACCTGTGGAACTAGTTCAAAGGAGGGGTTTGGAAAAGTTTGAAGATGCTGGCTGGAGAAACAGCCCTGTAAGGTGAACTTGATAGGAGATTCTGGTTTTATGGCTATGCAGAATGTAAGAGTTATAGGGACATGGATGTTTCCACCCAGATTGCAGAAGAAGGCTTCGAAGGACAGGCAATGTATCCCTGAAAGGGCAGAGCCTGAAGCTGTGAGAGAGAAGCCAAAAGCACAGTGAAGACCTCAGCAAGTTGGAGGTACAAGGAATGTGGAACAACTGTGGAGAAAAGCCTCAAGGAGGGAGCAACGCCAGCCCAAAAGAGAAGCCATGAAGGCTACAATCAACGGCAATGTGGTAGGAGCAGAGCCAACTGACATGTCTGGAGTTTGAATCTCACTGCAACTTTACTTTGGTGCTGGACATGGCGCTACAGAATTTAATGTTTACTCTGCTGAGTTTTGGTCTTGAGTTTAGTCCCATTTTTTCTAACCTCCTATTCCTTCCTTTTGATGTGGGAATATTTACCCTGTGCCATTAAATGTCAGCAGTGTTTCATTTTCTTTTTTATTTTTACAGTATTTCACAGATAAAGAGATTACTGTAAGTCTCAGAGACTTTGGACTTTGACTTTTCACCAATGATGGAACTGTTAAGACCTTGGCTACTGCTGAGATGGACTAAATGTATTTTGCATAAAAGGGCACATACCTCTTTTGGTGAACAGGAGTGAAAAGTTTTGGTTTATATCTAGCTGTCCCCCAAAAACCTCACATGTTCATAGGCAGAACTTTGGGGAGGTGAGTAGATTATGGGGGCTTATAGCTGACTTACTGTTAGGAGATAGGGTCTCGCTGGAATAGGTGGGTGTCTGGGAGCATAACCTGGAAAGAGTTATGCCCCCTCTGAGCTCATCCGCTACTTTCTGCTTCCTGTCCACCAACCATGAGCAGCTCTCTTCCACCATGCCCCTCTCTCTTCCACCATGCCCCTAGGCCATGCCATCTCCTCTTGCTGCCAGCCAACTCGGGACTAAAATGTGAGTCAAAGTAAACCTCTCCTCCCTTAAGTTGTGGGTGCTGTTTTTTTTTTTCCCCCTGCAATGAAGAAAGTGACTAAGACAAAGAGGAAAGACATGTGCTCAGGGAACATACTCCCTAGTCCCTTCCTGCTTTTGTTACTACATTGCAGCACTAGCTAAAATCTCTCTATAAACACACTTCTTACAGAAGTGGCACCTTCTCCAGAGCTCCAGCTCTCACTGGGTTCCAGTAACACTATTTCCATTCCTTTTCCCTTCAGAGCTGGGGTGTTATTGTCTTTTGGTTACTTTGAGATTCTAAGTGCCCATTATATACCTTATTTGTCCTTAACCCTGCCTATTAATCTACAAATAGTCCTTGCAGTAAAATCTAATTTCAAACACTAGAAAGTATTCATATTTTTATCAGGATGATGACTGATAGAGGTATACAACAGAAATAAAATATAGGGTGAGAGACAGTGTCAAAAAATTAGCAAGTAGACTTCTACAACCTTCTTCTAGGTATCTGATGGAATTTCAAATAGCATAATTATGACCCTCCATCACTGCTATGCTTTGGATATGGTATGAACCAAGGGTTCCTGTGTTGGGAGCTTTGCTCTCAATGTGCTAACATTGGGAGGCCATCAGACCATTAAGTGGGCCTGCTGGAAAGTCCACAGGACACTGGAGATACAACCCACAAATGGTATTTAAGTAGGTCTCATAGGACCTCCAGTCAATTCTTACCACTCTCCAGCCTCTCTGGCTACCAGTCTGGTCACTCCTTCTTGCTCATCTTGCTATTATGATGCCATCTACTGGGAGGCTTGAATCAGAGCTAAGCTCATGTTGACACCATACTTCTGAACCTCCAAATATGTAAGCAAAAACATCTCTTTCAAAGTTATCCTACTCTAGTTATTTCATTATAGCAATGGGAAAAATGGATGTCTTAATACTATAACCTATATTTTCAATAGTAACCTTTTCTTTTGTGTGTATAGTTTTTTTTCATTAAGTTTATTGGTATATTTAAAGCAAATGATATAGTTACATTTATCGAGATCTTGTACTTTTACATGATATATCTTGGTTCTTGTTTTTTCCCCATTCCAAAGTAAATTTTTCTATAAAAACATGAATTATTATTTCAAAACCCTCCTCAAATCTATTGTCTTATTTTTGATTTATCATTTAAAAATCTTGTTTTTCGTTATTCTTATAAAATATTTTAACTTATATTGTATGTCTTTGCAAAGTGTTTATCAAAAACATACTAAATGATTCACTTGATGGTTTTGCTGGATATTAAAATTAAGCCTACTAGTCCATACCTTCCAGAACTTCCTATTGTTCTATCTCTAGCTTTGGGGTGCCAGTCCATTCCATGGCTTCTCCAAGATGACTGGCTGTAATGAGGATAATTACATCTGCAAGTTTCTCTTTTATCTTAAACTTAGGGTTTAGACAGATCAGCAGTCTGGCATGACAGAAATAAACCTTTGAATTAAAGCTCACTTTGCCCTAATTAAACATAATTGTTACTGTTTGTATCATTTCTTTTTCCTTTGTTTGTTTGCTTGATTGATTGATCCATATCACTGCTTAGTTTTTCCTCCCTTCCAATTTCTCTACTTGTTTTTAAATCAGTATCTTCTTCATTCTCTATGTTTTCCTGAGATTTGGCGTCATTTTCTCCTCACTGGACATTTGAAAATTCAGAACACCATTCTATGTCACTCTCCATCAATTCTTGATTTATATTAACATTTAAAGTTTCCGTCATATATTGCTACATAGACTCAAAAACTTGTTACAAGGAAGAAACATTTTTTTTTCTCAAAGAATACATACTGTAGACATCTTTCACACAAACACACACAAATGTACTTGGCATGTATTTGCTAACAGGTTGTGAGGAAAAAAAAGACATAATAAGACAAAGTTCTTTGAAAAACTTCTGGAAGCGGGCACCAGGGGTATATCCACAAAGTAAGTGATACAGTGACTACGGCTGTGAACGCTCCCAATGTTAACACTGAAAGACAATGGCAGTCAGCTTCAAAAGTGACTGAAGATGCCATCAAAGGTAGGCTAGACCATGGTAGAGTTCCAGAGAGGAGAGTAGGCCAAATGGATGAGACTTTCCTAAATTTGCTTGTCTAACTACAGTTACTGATTGGAAATTTTAACTTACTGAAATGTAAGCAGGTAGATAATTTTAAATTTTCCAACTGTAGTAGTTTTTTCAGACTTTAGACAAAATACATCTTTAATCTATGTAGCCAGTTTCTACAGAAGTGGTTCTTCACTTTCTCTAAGCACCTAACAAATGCAGTTAACCATCATAAGCAGGGTGGGTCCAGTGCAAGGTCTGAAGCTTACACAGCTTGAAAGGCCACCTTTTCAAAAGAAAGCAAAATTACAAACAAGAGAAAATTAAGAAGAAAAGTTAAGTTTTATTGAGAATGAGAAAAAAAAAAAACTCAACAGATAATTGGAGGCATGGATATACAGATTTCTTATTTTGAGGCAGCTTTCTGCCGCTGACCAGGAGCGCTCATTGGAATGGTTCTGGTCATAGCGTGTCGTGTGCTTTGCACCTGGAACATCAACAACCCCAGCAATCCCCACCACTCCCCCAGGCCCGAGCAGATGAACAGCTCTGCAGCCTCAGTGTCATCAGCTTCGCCTTGAATCCGCCTCTAACAGCAAGGTCTCACTAAAGCAGGGACTGAAAAGCCATCTGGGACACTCAGCCTCCCCGAGGAAAGGCACCACCTGGTAAGTTTACAATTCCACGTGATTTTGATATGCAACGGCAGCTCCCAGCCCAAAGATGGTAATCACAGGCTGTATAGTCATAGACTGCTGTTCACGATTTATGGGCAATGTAAAATAGGAAAGTAGAGCAAAAAAATATATATATATATCAAGTATGTGCAGAATACAAAAATGTTAGCCTTTTACAACTAATCATAAAAATAATTTCATTGCCTTATAATTTAAATAAATGGAAAAGGCAACAGCACACGTTTGTGATGCTCTGTCTGAACATCTAGAATGCAGCCTGGCCTTATCATTGCATTCAACCCTAAGTGGAAAAAAACAGATCTTAAATATTTCTCTTTAAAGTCTGAGTTCTTTTCCAACTTCTATTTGCTCTCTCAGAATAAAAGCATGGTTAAGTGGGTTGGCAGCTTTAACTACCATCTCAAGGTAACATTTACCTTGGTAACAAATACAGTGCTCCGATCTGAACTCAAGTGTCCTATTAGCAACTTGAGAAACTGGAGTGACATCCGATCGCTCCACAAGGTATTTTTCTTTTCCAAAACCTTTAAGAAATGACAACTACACCAGTGCCCACACACCCAAAGTCTACCACTAACCCCCACAAGTCCATTCCCTCCAATTACAATTCAAGCCAAGATGAACTTCTCGTCCCAAATGCCAGGAGGAAAGAGAGAAAGGAAAGCTGCCTGCTGTGGGCTGGAAGGCAGTAGCTGACCACCTGAAAAAGCCTCAGCCCTGCAGCTTCCTGTTCCCACGACCGCTTTCTCCTGTTGAGCGGATCTCCTGGCACCTATCCTGTCTGGATTTGAGACTCACTTCGAGTGTCACGCAACTCTCAAATCCACAATCAACAACACTAAATCCAAAACAAATTCCGTCAATTCGGCTGATTCTCCCCAGTTCCGAGTCGGCCGCGCCCAAAGAGAAGCTGGCGTGGCGGAGTCAGCTTCAGGCCACCCGCCCCCGCGGTTCGGGGACTGTCACAAGGAGCTGTCAATGTCGGAGGGAAACAATCACAACTTTACGGGCTCCGCGAGGCCAAGGCCCTGCCCAGCCGAAGGTCAAAGTACGGAGGAGGGAGAGGCTGGGGCTCAAA